GTGGCTCCCGACCACAGGGCTCTGCCTCCCTCCTGGCATTTCCCTGGATTATTTCTGTGCTGTGCCATTGCCTTGAGATTAAGCTTGTTTTACTCCAAATTCAGCTGCTCTTTGCTCGGTGTTTGACCAGCACTGCTCATGTTGCCTTTATTCCCTGAAAAGTGGCAGGAGGGCTCAGTTCCATTTGCAATGCTCGGCCCCCAAAGTGGGATCGAGTGGAGACAACGCTTTGTGGAACATTCCTTGAATAAAAACCTTCATGTTGAAGCCACACAGGCTGATTTGTGGGATCAATTCCCCAGTGGGAACATTCCCAATGGCTTTAAGAAGGACAAACCAGTATTGGTGGACCTAAAATGAGACTGATATGCAAATGCTGGGGGCAGGTGTTCACTCCTCTGCTCCAGCCCAGAGAACAGGTAGCATTTCCCATTTTGGGAAGTGTCTTGTTCCAAGTGCTGGAGAGTCAGGAATGCTGAAAGCTTTTGAAGTATGGCAGGAGCAGCTGGCAGAGAGGAGCCTGGGGTGAATCCAACTCCAGTTCAAAGCACCAATCCCTCCTCCAAGTCACTGCACAGGGCCGGAATAAAAGGATCTCAGGAAACAGCAGAGACCCAAAGACAAACAGTGCAAGACATGAAAGACTGAAGGAAGGAGCAGCAGGAGTGAGAGCAAAGCTTCTCTCCCTCACCCCAGAAGGACTGGTTGTAGTTCAGTGGGATGCGGATCAAGAAAGAACAGGATTGTCCTTTCTTTCCAATTAAAACTGATTGATTATATGCCAACAGCAAAAAGAGAGGCCAATCCTTCCACATCCAGCTTTGAGCATGGAATCACAGGATGGTTTGGGTTGGAGGGATCATAAAGTTCATCCAGTTTCACCACCTGCCATAGGCAGGGACACCTTCCACTAGCCCAAGTTGCTCCAAGCCCCATCCAACCTGGCCTTGGACACTTCCAGGGATGAGGCAGCCACAGCTTCTCTGGGCCTCACCACCCTCACGGGGAAGAATTTCTTCCCAGTATCTCCTCTAAATCTCCACTTTTCTGGTGGGAAGCCATTCCCCCTTGTCCTGTCCCTCCGGGCCCTTGTCCAAAGTCCCTCTCCAGCTCTCCTGGAGACCCTTTAGGCACTGGAAGGGGCTCCAAGGTCTCCCTGGAGCCTCTCCCAGCCTGTCTCAAGAGCTGAGGGGCTCCAGCTCTCGGAGCATCTCCGTGGCCCTCCTGTTCCACATCATGTTCCACATCCAGCTCCAAAGCAAGGAAAGGGAGGAAGATGACAGATGTGAAGGTGGAGCAGGAGCAGGAGGGAGCGGGGACACCCTTGACAGGGCTGGACACCCCCAGGGCTCCCAGGACAGGGAGGGCTGTACCTGGAGAACCTCTCAGGGCTGGCAGCAGACGGAGGAACATGGAGAGAAAAGCTCAAACACATCCTATTTCACAGGACTTTTGCTCCAGTGGCTCTCAGGAAACCCAGCTGCTCTCCTGCAGCTTCTCCTCCCGCAGGGGCTCTGCTCCGAACACTGATCCAGGCTGGAAAATCCAGGCCTAAACACCACATCCCTTGTGCCTGCAGCTGGAGAACACAGGAACTGACAAACCAGCTTAAGAAAATGATTTTTATTTCTTTTTTTTTTAATTATTTCTTTTTTCTCCTTTTTTTTTTTAATTTCTGCTGTTTACAGATATGTTTTATTTCTCATAATACAGCTTGGCAGCAATAAAAAAAAAAATCCCACTGCAGCTGAACTAAACCCCATAAATACCAGCCCAGAAAACAATGGACAACCACCAATATTTCTATACAGGAACTATTATTTTAATGTCACATTTTGACAATGGTAAATGATCTACAGACTGTACGTGGGCAAAAGGCAAGAAGTGAGTCTTTTGAAACACCAGATGGAGAATAAACAGCTCATTATCAACATTTACATGATTCACATCAAATTGATGACATCCTAAATGTATTCCTTTTAAAGGATAGAAATTTTTCAATAAAATATTACATTTCATTTAATACTCTGGTACAATACTTCATACATTGCAGGAAAAAAAAATAAATGCAAGGTCTACTCCACCTAATAAGAGGATCCTTTTTCATTAGTCTTTAGTACTGTAATAAAAAAAATCACAATAATGTCATAAATAAACAGGCTTGAAATTATTAATTATGTTTCACTATTTAAAAGGGAGAAATTACAAATTAATTTGCAATAATGAAGTTATGGGTAGAAAAATCAAAACCTGACAACACATTCTAGTACCAGCTGTGAATTCTCTCATCCCTACAACAAAAAAAGGAAACAGGTTTTGTATCTTTGTTAGCTGTGTCCTAGTTAATTGTGTTTCCAACACATATTTTAAGAGGGAAAAGTAAAGTTTGGTCAGGATTAATAGGAGAACGAATCAGGCCTAACAACAGTTAGCTGAAATTAAAGTTTATGCTCTAAAACATTCAGTAAATGAAGTTTGCAGCAAATTCATGCTGGCATAAATTATTGTGCCTTAGGAGTTGGGGTAAATTTCCCTTGTGGAATAAAGTCTTCTCCAAGAGAACACTTCAGCCCTGCATCCCTTTTCCATTCATTGATACAGAACAGGCTTGGAAATCAATGCTTAAAATGGAATTCCCTAAAAACCTCACTAGAAATACACAAAACCCACATTCACTGATCCCCCCTGAACCAAAGGACATTGCTCTTTGTTGCTTCATCTGCCAGAAAGCCCAGCTTGAAATTTATTTGCTTAAAATAATTTAAATTATTTCTCTTAATTATGCTTAATTTCTTAATTATTTTCCTTTAAGAACCCTCCATCTCTCACTGGTGTGGGGAAGGGGACAGATTTTCTGGTGCATTTTATGGTCTCCCCTCTGGTGTCACCAGGGCCCAACACTCCAGGGCAGAGAGGAGAATTTATTTATTCCCAACCTTTCAGATTCTGCTCCCCCCTCGCTGACATTCTCCCACCATATGCTCCCCAGGATTAATACACATTCTGCAGCAAGAATTCCCTGCTTCTAAAGACAAAAATTCAAAATAAACCCCTAAACAGCTCAAATGAGGTCATGAGGCAACTTCATGTTGGCCATGAACTGATTGCTGCTTACACAGGTCAATCTTTTAAGACACAACACGTGAACTGAGTTCAGCCAGTGGACATTGCCTCAGGATCCTTCTCTCCCTTCTCCTGACTTCCCCCCTGACTTCCCAGTTTGGAGCAGAGCAGCTCCAAACCCAAGCCTGGGTCCCACCTAGCTCTAACCTATGAAGTGCAGGATTTGTCTAACTCTGCACCAAGTTTGAGGCAAATATTTAATTGCTCTCTACAAATACCAGCACTTCTGTCTGATCCCTGTTCAGCAGGAGGCAGCTGGAAATAGGGACACAGAGGAAGGAGGTGATGGAGAACAGGCATCTCCCACCAAAATTAACAGATTCCTCTCTCATCATCATCTATTCAGACCTAGAAAGGGCACAAGTATTTATGACTACAGTATAAGGCTATGCCAGTAAAACACATCTTATGGTATGCTGGTGACAGGAGTTCCAAAAATAAATCCCAAAGCCCCAAAAGACAAAAAGGACAAGAGGCAAAGTAACAAAATTCTGCTTAACATTAACGAAGCACCTTCATTCAGTTCAAACAAACTGTTCAAATATTTGAATTTGCAAAGCACTCTCAGGAAAAGGTAATGTAATCTCACACTTAACCTTTCACAAAGCTGTATTAATTACATTCCAGGCTTCAGCAGAATTCCGCCAGGAAGGCCAATAACACAATTCCATCGGCCCCGTTTCCCTGCACACGGCAGTTTGTGCAGTGTCACCCTGTGCATGGAAATGGAAATCATTCCTGAACACCCCTAAAGTCACAGAACTCCCCCAAAACCATGGGAAAAGGTGCTGGTGACACACCAGTCCCCACTCCTTGGGTTCCAAGGGGACTGCTGGTCCAGGGAACTGGACAGGGCAAAGTGAAGGAACCCAAACAAGTGGCAGCTCAGCAGACCTTCCTTCTGGAGTCTCTAAAGAGGCTTTTGGCTCATTGACAATCAGAAGTGGTTTCAGATTAACGTGATTTTTAATGGGGACAGCAAGTTCCAGGCAGCTCCAAAAGGCACTTGGGGTGAGAGGGTGACAAAGTCCTGCCTGGTGACACCCGGCGTGGCCTCGCTGCTGCTCCTGCTGCCCTGTCCCACTAAGGCAATTCCAGAGGATTCTTCCATGCACTGCCTTCCCCACACAACTGCAGTTTGGCCTTTTAGACCAGCACAAAGCCTTCCTAAAAATCCAGAAGGCTGCCCAGCTCCCACCTCCCCTGCAGAAGGGAAGGGGGTACTGACCCCAAGGGAACACTGGGTTACTGGTTTCACGGGTTCAATGTGCTGCCAAGGTATCATCATGCAACTTTTTAAACTATCTTAACTCTACAAGTTCAGTCTCTTGTTTAATAGATGAACACAGACTAATTAACACAGACAGTGTCCTCACAAACCACTCAGGTCTCCTGAGAGAAACAGCAACTTTCTATTCTGGGTGGAGAGATCATGGAAAAGAAACTTTGATGTAAAAGCAAGAATTACTCAAAAACAGCCCATCCAGCCACTCAGCTAAGTCAGAATCAAGCCACCAGTTATCACAAAAAGCACCTTCATATCAATAACTGCTCACCCCAGGAAGCTCAGTCTGAGTTTGAAATGTATCAGGACTAATTTGATCATGCAGTTGATTCATTCCCGCTGGTGATCCACTGTTTCCCAACAATCAAGTATTGTTCCCATCAGTATTTTACATTAGTGTAACGGATTTATCCACGTCATTGCTCTCCCCTCACCCACCCCCCCAGCCCCTCCCCCCCCAAAAAAACCCACAACTGCTCAAATAAGGAAAAAACCCCCCACTAATAACCATACTGTGAAACAAAAATACTATTTAAAAAACACATGGATGACAGTCCAACAGTTTGCAGGATTCAAAACTGACTCTACAAAGTAGTTGTCTACATTGTAGAAGGGATTTCCTTTTATTTGGAAAATGAGCAAATCAGGTATTGGAGAGAAGAGATAAAAACCAATCTTTAGATGGTCTGAAGTTTTGCCTACTGTTGAAGGATTAAAACCGTAAATAAAAAGGTACCAAGCCCTCAGAGTTCACTGTTCATGTGAAGCTTCTTCCATCTCTTTCTTGACCTTTTTAAAAACCAGATTAATTTCTGGGAAAGAAAAAAAAAAAGAATTATATAGGAAAAACCCAGCAGTTATTTCTTATTCTGACATACAGAAATGCTCAATTTTGACTTGAAAAAGGCTTAAACTAAACCCAAAGTTTCAAACCTGGCTTAGAAACTGTGTGAGGCTTTGGCAGTAGAAGGTGAGATTATTAAAATTAAATTGAAATTAGCTTTTGGAATTTAGGCAGGGATAAATTAGAAGCATTTTGGACATTATTGTGTGTATTTTCCCCAAAGTCCAGGCTGTACACCCCCCCACCCTGACCATACACACCTGCCTTGGCATGGGAGGCTCCGAACATCTTCTCATCTGAAACTCTTCTGCTGTTGCATCAGCCCCACATTTTCATATACTCTAGCACTATCTTCTCTCATTCTGAAATGAAACAAAGATTTAGAGTCCCAAGAATCCAGTTTGAGGACAATTATTTTGCTCAATTTGTTTTCAGAGCAAAGCCCAAGGCAACAGTCCAGGGCAGGTTCTGGGCGAGCTCAGCCTCATTTGAGGTTCCTGATGAGTCAGTAGAGCTCAAAACTTCCACATGAGAGCAGAGATGAACTTACTCTGGACAGGTTGGGGTCGGGGTGCAGGGTGGGAGAGGGCTCTGATCCCCACTCGTCTGGTCCGATAAAGAATATTTAATGTTTGTGTACTCGTGACCTTTCCTCTTGCTCTTCTGTGAAGCAAAACACACCAAAAAGCCAGGTTTGGAATTAATCATGGAAAACAGTCATTGAAGCAGTGAAGCAATTACATGAGTAACTAAGCAAGGATGGTTTTAGAGGGAAGGTTTGTGAGGAGACAGCTCAGTTTGCAGACACGCAAACATGGAGAAGACCTAAAGGTTGGCTTGAGCTATGGATTACAAGACCTGAAAATCCTCATTTTTCCACATTCCCCTTTCCACCACAACATCCCAACCCTATGAACCAGCACTTGTACTCAACCTTCATCTTCCTTGGCAGAAGAAACCCCACTTTCATTCTTTAGCAGCCAGTGGGCTCCCCACTGATCTCATTTCCAGCTTGGAGATGTGGCCAACGGAGTAACAATGCTGTTTGCAGGATCTCTAATAAAATAATACCTGAGCCCATTAGGTTTGATATAAAAAGCAGCCAAGCTGTTATTTGGATGGTGCAGCATATGCTCCAGGCTGCAGCCAATTGTGCTGGCACTGAGCTCCAGATCCCGACGCTCCACGCGGGAACTACGCTGGGAAAGGGAGGGGATGTGGAGCTTTCCTTTTCCACACAAATATTCACAAGATGAATATACTACAGCACGGGAATTAAAGCTTTACAGGGTACTAGGTTTGATTTTTTGTGTGGATTTGAGTTCCTTTACTGCTCCACCAAGTCCTGAGTAGCTGGCCTGGCCCAATCTCACGACAGCAGAGGCTGTCGGAGCCTCCTGGGAGTTCTGGCTCCTGAATTCCCATTAAGAACATTCCTATGGCAATGCAGGTTGAAGCTTTTCCAAGATGCTCTTCTGAAACATGCTCAGAACTTGATAAATTTGTTCTAGTGTTTCACTGAACTTCTCCCCTCTCTGCTTTTTCTTGCTTTCAAACAGACCCCCAACTCCCAATTGATTGCCTGCTAAAAAATAACATTTAAAGAAACACCAAAGGTTCAAACTCTCTGTATTTTACAGTGTTATGGCTAAACCATAAATAATGCCAAAAATACTCTGGAGCCCCAAAGTAGGGCTGGATTTCTACCCAAACCGCACAATGAAGGGCAGTTCAACTACAGGTGTGCTGGGCAGTAAAAGCAATCTAAAAAAAAAACTGTCAGATCTATTCCTTAAACTGACTGAAACAGATAAAAAAAGCCAAGAAAAAGTAGATATCTGGCTTCTCTTCCTTCCACTTAATTCACTGTAATCATCCTTCCTAATTCAGAGTAACAGAAATGTGGTGAGAACTTGTTTCCTGGATGCAAGAGAATATACATTTTCACAGGGAAAAAGCCCCAACCTAAACCAAATTCCTTCTGTTTTTCTACTATGCCTGTGGGAAGACAAGCAATATTTAACACAGCACTTAACTCCAGGAAAACTGAAGGCTCTCAGCATTGCAACGTTGGCAGAGTAGGGAAAGTCTGTCCTGAACACTAAGGAAAAGCAGGAATATCTCTGGGGAGGGATGCAGCTCCTCACAGATCCAGCTGGTTGTAAATCCTCCAGGACACGACACATAATGTGACTTCCCAATTCCTTTTCAGAGCTGCCTGAGCTCATCCAGATGGGAAGCAGAGGGGGAACAGGACCCCACGCTGGTCCCTACAAAGAGGCTCTAATTGTTGGGTTTTCCCTCTTTGCAATTAAAGCAAGTGTAGAGAAGAAGGTTCCAGAAATTCAAGTTTCTCAAAACACAGTGTTTCATTCCCAAATGGGGTGAAATTCCAGCATTCTATCAATGAGACATTTCTTCTGTGCTCTCTCAAAACGTGCTCTGGAGCATTCCCAGTTCACCACATTCCTGCACACACCACAAGCTTTGCTTTGGGCTGAGAAGCTTTACATTGTTTTGTTCCTGCCACCAGTCATAGGTCAAGACCTCCTGAACTAAAGCAATGTTTTATTTCCAGTTCCTTCAATACCTGAGCCTTCTGAGTTGGTAATGGATGAACCACAACAGAGCCTCATCACTGCTCCACTTGATACCAAAACACCACTCAAACCTCATCACAGCAAAAAAGGCAGAGTTAAAGCTCTGCTTTGTAACTGCTACAGCAGAAAGGGGCTCAAGAGCTGAGGATGCAGAGCTTGTGGAACTGCACACACACACAGACACCAGGCAGCTCCAAGGAGAGGGGAGACAACAAAGCCACGGAAAAAAATCCACCTGAGGGATTTCTTGTTCACTTTGTGTCTAATCACCACCAGAGCACACAAGAGTGTCCTGGGGAGAGCAGTCAAGGCTCCATCCTCTCAGTGAACAGGGCAAATAATCATGTAGGGAAACACAACCTCAGCTCTGCCACACTCCAGAGAGCCAAGGCTGGGCTGGGACACTCCAGCCCTGAGCTGGGATTAACACCTCACACTGGCACTAAGCTGGGCTGGGGGTTTATCTCCTGAGCAGCAAAGCAGCAGCAGAGACAAAGATATTGAAATTCTGAAACAAAAAGGTAAAAATCCCAGATGACCAGAGGTCAGGGCACAGAACAGAGACAGAATAATGTCAGTTCCTTATTCCAAACTCCTGTAAAACACTGTGTAATTTGAGTGAAGGAATTACTTTAACAGGAAGGGTGAGGTGAAGGTCTTGTGGTTGTCACCATTATTCCAAAGCCTTTCCCATCTTATCACACCAAATCACTCCTGTAACTGCTTTTTATTGGACACTGCACTGCAAAATCACCACTCATCCCTCAACCTTTCAGCCCAATGTACTGGTTTCTTACTAATAAACTCCAAAACTGGAATTAGAGTGACCAGCATTTGATTATCTTGTCTTAAAAACACAGTTAACAGATTTGAAATCTCTTTAAAACACAACAAATCACAAGGTTCTGTATTAATTAACAGACCTTTATCTTTTATTCTTCTTGCACAAGAAATTAGATAACATTAAGGAAATTAGAGATCTGGGTGCAGGGGCTGGGGACAGGGAGGATAGCAGAGGATTGCATTTAGTAATTTAAGGAGAGGATTCCACCTAATAAACTTAAGTCATTCTTAAGCACAATGAATTGAAATACAGAAGAGGGTTCCCAGGTTCAGACCCAGCCTTTCCACCACACATTGGTTATAAAGTCAGCAGCCAAGCCTCCAAAAATCACAGGCAGCAAACAAGCAACTCTGCTCCCTGTTGAAATGCAATTTTCTATTTATTATAGTAAACAATTTGATATTCAGGACAAACAGACCTGCTCCTCCTCGATCCTGCGCTGGAGGGTTTCGATGTAGTGCTGCACTGCCATGTAAATAAACCTGTACTGGGCCTCTGTCTGCACCATTCCTGACCTCTGGGATCTCACCATCTGGATGGTCTTTGGAACATCAATATCACAGTCCACACCTGAGGAGAATCATCACAACATTAAAACGGGAAAATAAACACACCAAGGTTGTAAATCACTGGAATCCTCTGTCAACACTCCTGTGGTTTTATCTGATGTTTCTGTCAAAGTCCCACAGGAAAATAAAAGGGGTGACCCACCTTTTTCTCTGATGATGTCAATAAGAATATCAATCACAATGAACGTTCCTGTTCGTCCGATCCCAGCACTGGAAAAAGAGAAAAAAAGGTTATTTGTTCTGCTCTTTCTGAACAGACCCCAAAACACCAACCCAAGGAAGAATCTCATATTAGGCTTCCAAATTATAGCCAGACTTAAACCACACAGCCAAAAGTGACCAGAGACCTCCTCAGTCTAACATGGAAGAGACAGAATTCATTAGGACTTTTGTACCTCAGGACTTTTAAACATCCCTGAATCAGAAAAAAAACCACATAAGGTCAGATCTAAGATTTCTTTGCCTTATAAAAAGTCTCTCATTTATAAGCCCAGTCTGAGGAGAGCCCTCCCAGATGGGATGGGATACTAGCATTTCCCTGATCCCACATCTGAAATGTGCCAGCCAAGGTTCCACCTTCTCATTCAACACCAAAAATCCTTATTTATACAAACAAGCTCACTCTGAAAGTCAACTGCTTCATGTGACACCCATCCAGAACACGACATTGTGCAAAACAGAAAGCAAAAACACCTGGACAGATGGAATTCCAAGCAGTTCCAAGGGAGAGTTGTCCTTTTTTTAGAGGTTTCAGTTCCCCAGGCCAAAGAGAGGAGCAGCAGGAGAAGCTCAGCCCATCACCTCACCTGCAGTGGACCACGACTGGTCCGGCATCAGGAATGCTCTCCTGCTTGTGGTGCACCTCCTCCAGGAAGTCCAGGACACCGCCAGGATCGCTGGGAACGCCGTGGTCGGGCCAGGTCCTGAAGTGGTACTGCCAGACTGTTCTCTCTGTGTTCCCCTGGGAGGGACAAGGCATGGAAACAAACCCCTTCAGAACAAATCCAGCTAAAGGAGCATTTATGGGGCAAAGCTGAGTCAGATGGGAAGGTGGCACTTCCAAATCCAACCTGCTGCTCAGTATCCACAACTCCGAAAGGAAGGAATAAGCCAGAGCCCTCCTGGCCTGACAAGTCAGTCACTAAATCCTGATTATTTGCTTCTCACATGGTTTGTTCTGCTCCCTGATCCAAATTGTTCCTTAACAACTCTAATTCCACACTAACTGTTTCCTTCCTCACCTTTTTATCCTTCCTTTAAGTGAACTTCCTACACGTTGGACCCACACACAACCTTTTCTTCTGGTGCAACCACCTCCATGAGAGGGAACAAATTCCTGGCTGGATTGAAGTGTGATCAGTTAAAAGCATCGTCCCTCTTTACACATTCCCTCCAAGCTCTGCAGCAGAGCATCTCCTGCCAAAAACTGCTTAGGTAGAAGAATCCTCAATTATCCCAAGGACAAAGAGAAAGAGGGATGGAACTAAACGTGGAGCTTCAAAGAAAGACAGGGCTCAATTTATTAATCTCTTGGTGCTTTTATTGATTCCAAAGAAAGGGTCGATTTGTGCCAATTTTTGGGGGGGGATCTGCAACCTAAACTGAAAGGACAGAGTTACTCTCACACTTACCTGCCCAACTTTAGAAAGTTTAAGTTCTCTTAGCGTGTAATCATGTGCTGCGCTCTCCTTAACATTCCGGACACGCATCACCCCGTATTCCTTCAGGGAATATTCATCAGGCCAGTACTTGACACATTTACTCTGCAAGATTTAAAACCAAAAAACAGCACAAAAGGAATAATCAGCCAGAAAAAAAACGGCTGTTTTGCAAACTGCTTAACATGTTTCTGGAGCTTTAATTTCAGAACACACAGAGGACAATTCCTCCCACCAACTGCTGACAAGGTAAAGTGCATTTAAGTGTCTCTTCTCCATAACAACCACTGGATGATTTCAAACAGGTACAGGCAATTTCCCCTCTTATCAGCTTTTGTGATCATATTAGAACCTGCTGTGCCTGGATAATTTCAAAACCCGAAGATTAAAATATTGTATCTCCAGGTTTCAAAACACTGAATTCCCAGCAGAAAGCTGCAGCCTTACAGGTGATCCTACAACCAAAACCCACCAGGCTGAAAAATAAATACAAGTAAACCATTTTTAGCAGAAATTCAACTTGGATGCTTGCTTTTCCATGCCTGCTTTTCTATGCCTTGGAGCAGGAAGGACTAACACAGGTCTAATTCAATCCCCAGGGAACTGCTCCCTGTGCAGGGCACTGAAGCCTCGTGTGCCTGTGGCTTCTGGTGTTCTGCTTCTCCATCCAGATTATCTGTGGCCAGGGATATATTCCATCCACTGAGGGATGGATTCACCTATGGCCACTTGGATTTGGTTCCTGTGACAGGTCAGGAAAGAGCAACTCCAGGGAATGCAGCATGAAATGAGAAATTACAGCAGGTGCAGCTTCCAGCAACGGCAAACACAGCCCAAACACCAAGTCCCACAAAGAAATATTGTCTATTTGCAGCTCCTCCTGCATATTTATGAGAAAACACGGCACAAGGAAGTTTCTTCTGCCAACCCAAGATAGAGGAAGATGGTTGAAAACACAATTTGCAGCCTATTTAGGCAACAAGCTGCTTTTGTGTTATTTTTGCCCTTCTTTCCCTGTCATAAGGGTAGAAACTAAAGAAAAGATGTTGTTCTTGGTGGGTTCCAACATAAATAACTTGCAGTTTCAACACAGAGCTCTGAACACGAGAGCAGTTGGTAGAGCAAGTCTGAACAGTGACATGATGTTAAAATTAGCTTTATTCTGCCAGAGGGGTTGCATTTATTACTGGCTCCATGGATTGGCTCCAAAACCCCACTATTTTAATTTATAAGTATTTGCTGTTTCTGCAGAACTCGCTGCAGAGCTGAGATGTCTCTCAGTTCCTCCTTTCCTTGGGCAATGTGCTCCTGAATTTCAGCTCTGGTGCAGAGAGTTCTCCTTCCTGCAGGTCTGAAATCTTGGCCTGAGATAAAAAAGCTTTGCTTTTCTATCAGGACTGTTATTTGCAATTCTTTAAGAAGTGAAATATGCAGCAAAAAACAATAAAGGGTAGAGAAAAAATCATCAATGCAGCACTGATGGAGTGATCAGGCATTGAAGTGTTTTCTCCAGCAAACTTTGGGAAGAATAATGGAGAAACTGCAGAGGAGAAAAGGCCATTCAGGAGGTTATTGAAAAAATAATAAATGACTTGAAGAAAAGAGAGGTGTACTCTTCCAAAACAACCCCATAATTTATTTCTTTTCTTCCCAAACAAAGAACCAAGAGGGATGTCACTTGGAAAGGGGGAGCTTCTCCCTCCTTCAGTGCATTCTCAGGAAGGAAACACAAATCCTGTCCCTTTATAAGGGGGATGAATGGGCAGAAGTTTAAAAGGCTAAAAAAAGGATTCACAAGACAAAGTCTAAACCAAATAAAGGCAGCTTTGACATCTCAGCTGGGGGGAGAAGTCAATAAAATTCACTATTTGTCTTCAGTCCATACACACAAAGCTTGTTCTTGTAACAGGGGTGAGGAACCCCTGCAATTATCACTCACCCCTAGAAAAACTTCTCTGCACTTTTAATTTGGCTTTTTTCCCAAGTGATGCTCCCCTAACAAGGTACCAGCTTTCCATTCAGAACCAAATCAGGAAATAGGGAAAAAGGTAAAAAGCTGGACAATGGTGATGGCAGAAGCATAGAAAATTAAAAAAAAAAAAAAGGAGAGAGAGCAGAAAGTGTTTATCAAACAGAAAAAGGATCAGAAGCACCAAATTCCAAAGATAAATCCATACAAACACAGGAAGCTGCGTGTGAGTGCTGCCAGGATATCAGTGTTCAACTATTTCCTATTCTTTCCTGCCACATGTCTTTAGGAGCCAGAAACAAAGTAAAAACCTCAGGTTTGGCAGAGGACAGGGAGCGAGATGAGATCAAAGGTAAAGGGGGGTTCTTGGGATAAACCACCACAGGAAAGTTTCAGTTTTGAGAGCATTAAACCCTGCCCAGGGGGTGGACAGGAAGCTGTGTCCATGCAGAACAGGGCAGGCAAAGCACCTGACTCAGGAATAAAAGTGCTAAATCCCACCTGGCTGGGGATTCCAACCAGGCATTTCCAGCTGGAATCACCAGCTCACCACAGAGTAATAAAGTTTTCCAGCCTAGAAAGTTGAATCAGAAGAGGGAACAGCACTGGAGTAACATGACCTGAACAAGATGAATGTGGGGCAACAACTCTCACATGATAATGTGGTTTTTAGGTAAGAAACATCGTCTCTGTTCATCTTGTAATAAAAAAGCCCCATAATTCTGCTTTTCCAGTGAAGTATATCCAGGCTTGATCAGCTGAAATTAATGGGAAGACCTTTGTTACAGGAAGAGGGAGTTTACCCCTCCAAGCACACAGAATTCCTGCCTGGCTCCATCTCACATTCCAGTGCCTCATTCCCTGAACAAGTTTAAAATACACAGATTCACATTCAGTAGACAAAATTAAATCAGTCAACCCTTAGAAAAGGGAGGCCTGATGGTATGACAGGAGGATATCCTCAATTCCCACAGGCACCAATAGAAAAAGGACACTCAGCACCTTCCAGAGCTCCAATGAATCTGGTGGCACACCAGATTCCAGCTATAAATCAATTTATCTCAGTCACTTTAGTCCTTACTTGCCCTCAAATGCCATGACCTTTCCCAAGGCCAGTTCAAGCCTGATTTTACCTTTCCTCTTTCCACTTCTTTTGTGGTCATAACAATAACTCTGGAATTCTCCTGGAACACCATCCTCCAGAAATCATTCACTGTGTTCTGTAGGCAACCTTGAGTAGCAATGTAGCTTTTTTTTGGCTTTGAGTTGTTGCACTTGGTTTCAAACTCAGGCTAGAGAGAAAAAAAAAAAACCAAACAACAGTTCAGCAAGTGGTGACAAGACTCACCTGAATTTAGGTGAATATGATAAAGAGGAGACATGGGATGTGCCAAGAAGGCTCCTGGAGGTGGGAATATACTCACCATAATAATATTAGCATTGATATAGTCTGAAACAGGTTCATTGGGATCCCCATCGTGGAGAACAACTCTGGTGTGATCAACTGGAAGAATAAATATGGATGTTAAGCACTTGCATCCTACACTTGTGAACACACAGAAGCCTTGAAGTTGTCAAACTCGGTAAATTAGTGATTAGAATATTCCAGACTTCCTCTTTTGCCATTTCTTGCCATGACAAGCTCAACCAAAACAAGGCTCCACGTCCCCTGGTAAGTCAGGAGCACGTGGACAGTCAAACAAACAGCCTCTGGATTTGCACATTGCAGTTTTGTCCAACAAATTAATCCTCTTAAATTTAAGTATTTCAGCTTGTTGAATAACAGTTTAGGGGATGGGAGGCTTTGAAATGAAAGCTGAAGATAAAAGAAAACAACAATTGGGGATGGAAATAGGGGTATCTACAAAGTGCAAGTGTTGGAACACAAACTGGAAATCACACGGGCTCCTTCTGACAACATAAAGGGGGAAATTATCATTAAAGAGAAGCAAAAGCACAGTGGTGCTTAATTAACCCTGTGTTTGGGAGTTAAGAAAATAAAGCCTAGAAGGGCAGCAGGCTGAGGTGACAAAGACAAATCAATACTTACAGGGTAGGATGTTTTTGTATCTATTTTTGTTCTTGTTCTCCTGGCGCTGCCCTTCCTTACGGCTGTAGAGGAGTTTGCATTCCTGCTGCTGCAGAGTCTGAAGGGAAACAGCACAAAGACCTGGCTCAATAAAAGCAGGATGGACTGTTCACCACCATCCCAGCAATCCCTTCTCCCAGAGAAAGGGGGAATTAGGTAAGTACAAACAGGGTTATGCATAAATCCTTCTAGTCCAGAAACATACCCGAGTGAGGATTTCTCCCGCAGGGAAGGAGCTCATTTCTCAGTTCCTGGTACACAATTAATGTGACAGGGACAACAGCAATTCCATACTTCTCCAGCCATGCTCCTCAGTGGCATTTCTCCCTATTTCAATGAAGCTTAGCTCCAAGTTTTAATCCCAAAGCAGCACTGGCCTGACTTAAAGGAACATTCAGGCTCTAGAAGCTGCTCCCCCTGATTATTCCCACCCTTAAGACTCTCCCAGGCATTTCTTTTACTTAAAGCTTGGCCATGTCAGGCACATTTGCTCACTCCTGTTTCAGTCCCTGTTATTGTTGCTGCCTCACTTAATGACCTTGGACAATTAGGCTCATCCTAAAGGCAAAGGAATATCAGAGATGCAAAATTTTACGCTTGTGAAGCAAAAGACTGAAAGCACATCCCTATAAATCGTTTGTTGTGGAATCCAAGCAAAAGTTAAACTTTTCAGCAGGTTAAAAAATTGAAGCAATTAAGTGTGTGGAAACCACAGTTTCAAACCCATCTTCCTTCACAGAGTTAATTATTATTGCTTGGAGCCTCCCTGAGGAGAGATCCATGAGCAGCAGCGACTCCTAACAAGCCCATTAAGGGATGTACACAATGCAGCCATCAATCTGCAACATCCTCCTCGATTCCACTGCACCATCCAAGCACAAAGCTCCCCAAATAACCATTTTTCAGAAGGAAAAACATTACAAGGACTGTCAACATTTCTGTCTGCTGGTTCACGGGACAAGAGGTACATTCTTGCCTGAAGACAAGTAATTTATAACCACCATCTGGGCTGGCAGCTCATAAACAGCACAGACAGAGATCCATGGGCAACCTGGAGTTTGCTCCCTGCCTCCAGCCACCAAGGTGGACAGCTGGAGCTTCCCTGAGGTGAGTGGAAAAGAATGGCACTAAAACTGCCAGGAGATTGTTTCATTTCCAAAAAAGCCCAAGGTTTAGTGCTGACCTCACTAACAGCAGTTAGTTAGTTAGAAGGGGAAAGGGGAGAGCAAAGTCTCACAGGTAAAAGCTTTAATTTCTTCCATTTACTTTTCCTGTAAGACTTCTCCTGGCTTTTAAGGACCCACTGATAGATCCATTACAAGACAAAGTTATTCAACACCAGAGGTCAGGAAAGTCCTAACTGTGAATTAATAGCTCAGTTATATTTAATAGAGCAACAATCCCTTCCTGAACTCATCACACAAGAGAACCCCTCTCATTAATTCAGAGCTCCCAGCACCAACTACAAGGAGAAGACAACTGGGCACATTTTTTCCTTTTTTATGCCCTCTGAATAAGAGCAAGACATGCTTAAGACTTCAGGAAAGCCAACAGACACCCTTTGCTTGGCTAATTTGGGCTAAATCCCACAGCAACCACAGGCACAATATCTGTGCCTGTGTCATGATAGAACAGAACACACACTAATCACTTGGCCAAAGCAGGTAATTCCCATATGGAAGTCCACTCAATCTTCCCAACCCTCCAGGCCCCAGGTCCAAGTTCATGTGTTGAATTCTGCAAGGAAAGCAACTCAGAGGTTGAGGCCAATTTACCTCCAGTTAAAGCTCACAAGCAGTGGATGAGAACTGCTCCCATGGGATCCCCCATCCCACTGTCAGGGGAAAGCAGAGGCTCAAGGCCCAGCAGTGGCCAGAGCAGGGATTGTGACCATTCTGATCATTCAGCAGCCCTGGCTCAAGGACTGTCCCTCCACACTGGGCACATGGGGAGAGGAGAAAGCCTAATCCTCATTTTATCACTTCCCAGTGCCACAAGTTCACCTTCTGATATTCCACCCACACTCGTAGTGAAATGTGTTACCCCTTTGGTAACTCTTCACTTTTCATGGATTTCTTTCTCCCTTCCTGACAATAATCTCAGAGCACACTGGTCAGCACATTCAGCTAATGGATATCTCTGGTCCAAAAGGAGTTTCTCCAAACAGCATCACAGACCAAACCAGCCTCTGGCACAGCCCAGCACTTCCCAGTTTCCTGTTGCCATCTGCTGGTGGAATTCCAAACTCCACCGGTGGTTTCCTTATGTGTGTGTGTGTGCGTGTGTGGTATAAACCAGTCCATGATACAGACCCTGGAGTGTTCCAGGACGGGTTGGACAGGGCTTGGAGTAACCAGGGCTAGTGGAAGGTGTCCCTGCCCATGGTAGGGATGAGATGAACTCGTTGGAAGGGACCTTAAAGCTCATCTCATTCCACCCCCTCCCATGGGCAGGGACACCTTCCACTATCCCAGGTTGCTCAAGCCCCATCCAACCTGGCCTGGAACACTTCCAGGGATGGGACAGACACAGCTTCTCTGGGCAACCTGTGCCAGGGTCTCACCACCCTCACAGGGAGGAATTTCTTCCCAATATCCCATCTAAACCTACTCTCAATTTGAAGCCATTCCCCCCCTCCATTTACACTCTTTCTGGGAGGAAATTGGAATTTGGAATTGGAAATTGGAATTTTGGCTGCAGGGCAGAAATCAAACACCAAAACAAACCAAAAATAGATCTCCAGAAGTCCAAGGAATACATTTAATCAATGCTGCTTCCTCTCAGAGCTTGTTACCACTACACAACAGCTTTAAGGTCCCCAAAAATGACCATCAAAAGGCCAGAATGTCCATCAAAAAGCCATAAGGAAAGGGTGTTTACTGACTGAAAAATCCCATGGGATTTAAAGCCATAGTCCCCAACTTGCCAAAGGAAGAAGGAACCCAATGGATTGTCCTGGTGGGCCAGTGGCACAGGAGGCTCCCTCCTGGTGCAGTTGGGAGGATACCCAGGAGGGATTGTGCCAGGTACTGGATGAATAGCACTGAAGAACATCATTAACTCTCAGACTGAGGGAAAAAGGCAAATATTTCCCTCCCCAGGGATGAAGCTGGTAAAATTTAAACACATGGAGATGGGAGCTAGACCAAGGATCTGAAGTGATGGAAGTAGCATTGAAGAACATCATTAACTCTCAAACTCAGGGAAAAAGGCAAATATTTCTCTCCCCAGGAGTGGAGCTGGTAAAATTTAAACACATGGAGATGGGAGAAGAACAGAGATGTGAGGTGGCAGAGGGGGAGAGGGAAGTTTGTTACTGCCGGGAAGACAGTAACAAACCTAAAAACCCTACAAAATCTTAGCTTTTAGTAGTGTAGATTTAATCCCCTAACCCTTGGAATGCACTGAAGTACCTCAAACTCCTCCCAGAAGCCCTGCTTGACTTTGTCCGTGGTCTCGGCCAGTTTGCTGAGCTCCCGCACGCGGCTCTCGATCTCGGCGGCGTTAATTCGGGTCGTGTTCAGGGGCTGAGAGACACAGACAGCAGAGGCTGAACAAACAACTACTGTGAAAAGACAACTAAAACACAGTCCTCTAAGCTAAGGATGTTTTATCCAGGAATTCTTGGATCCAAGCACCTCTTTGACTTCAAAACTTCGGAGTTCACGCAACGAGGGGTAGCGAGGAAGGGACAGTGAGCAAGGGCTTTTAGAATCATAGTTTTTATTTAATACATTAAGTCCCTCATTTCTGGACTCTCCCTGCAATCCCTGTGGACCACAATGACACTGGGACGTTCTGACACATCAGAGACAAGTTTATCTCTTTACAGGCATAAAGGAAATTGTTTCCCATTTAAATGACTTTGTTTCATGAAGTTTAGTTCTGCATTTTTGCAATAGGAAAGAAAAGGTCTTGCATATGGACCTTGCATATGAAAAAGCTGCACTGCCACAATATATTTTGAAGGTAGCAGAGCTCTGGGGTGTCTTCTCCATTCACTCACCTGTTTGAGCTGCAACACTGTGCCCAAAGTCTCCACCATGGGGTTCTTCTTGTAATGTTCCACCAGGTCTGTCAGAGAGTCAAACTTCTCCCCTCCACCAACGTCGTATTTCAGCTCCTTCAAAGACAGATGCTCATCAAAACAAATGCACTTCCCACAGTGACACCTGCACTGACAGCACCTTTGGGCTGCGCATCATAGCAGAAATTATCTTTCAACCAGATATAGAAGACTCATAAAATCCTTCTAAGGGATGGCAGAACCTCAATAACAGAAACACACACACACTATGGAGGGCATGAACCTTTTGGTCATCTCACTGAAAATCAGTTTATCTGGGGTTCAGTCAGCTCAAGATACTGGAGCTACAGGATGAGAATCCAGGAATTAGGAATTTGAATTGATTTCCAAAGCTAAATGTGCCCTGAAAGGCTGGTACTGCCTGGCACCTGCCTATTTTAAGGAGGCAATGCCAAGTTATTTTCCTCAATGTCATAAATGCTACTACTAGTCAACTGCAAATCAAAGAGGGTTTCTTAAAAAAATAAAAATATTCTGGTAGTTTTTACATGGTCCTTGTAGGCCATTTCTGCCTCCAAACTATTTCAGTTATTGCAGCTTAGTTGTTTTAATACAATTAAGTTGTTGCACTGCCTTCTGGGATAACAGAAGTAAAAGAAAATGACATAAAACAACCCCTGATGGAATTTTGGTGCTGTCACGTGAGTTCATTGGATCAAACACCTGATCTGTGTCACCCACAGGGAAAGGGGGATGGATCCAGCAATCCGTGGGGAGGTGGAAGGTGAACCTCCTGTTCAAATCCCACAGCCCATGGAATTCTCTGCTAAAAGGAGCCCGTGGTTTCCATACCTGGCAGTGGATCATGACATGTGTCACCTTGGATTTGCCATCATTGCTCTCTCCTTTATCATCTCCTGTCCTCACAGAGAGGACAAAGTCCCCAGGGTGGCTCTGGCTCTCCCGCACAAGGAAACTTCCATGTTTTCCTTTCTCTGTTAAGAGCTTTTCAGCTTCTCTTCCAGAGAGATGTCCATGAAACCACCTTTAAATAAACATACAGAGAGAGACTCCGCTTATCATTCCAGCCATGGCTGAATCCACTTGTTCGAATTATTTATTATAAAATAAAATCCTTGTGTTCACTGAACATTGTCCAGCTCTACAGGAAGCCTCAGTTTATAAAAATAATATATAAAATCAGCCTTGGAAGTACATGCACACACAGGAGTGAAGACAGAAACACTTCAAAGCACTTCCACAGGTGCTGACATTTGAATTTCACACACTTTGATTTGGATCCTTCACAACAGTCCCAGTGGATTCCCTGGTGTCCAACAAACACCAGCTCACATTGCAACCTCCTCCTCAGCCAAGGTGTTCATTCTGCTTTTATTTCCTTCATGAAGCCACACTTTCCTGATAAACCTGTGGGAACTTCACATCCTAGAGACCTTACCCTTCCATCCCATTAGGAAGTAGACAGGATAATCTCAGCAATCTCATTTCTTCAGGAAATAAGGCCAAAAAACCAGCAATTCTCCCCACCACTGTTAAATACAAGACACTCTGAGTAGTGAGAGAACTTGTGTGGATATTTTCCCTTGTTCCTTCACTTCCAGGGATAAACAGATACCTGCTGGCCACAGAGGTTTATTTCTGACACCTCCGTAATTCCTCAGGTTTAACATCTCAGATTCTCCTTATTAACCATGTTCCTCAAACCGGGATTTGAGGAATTTGAGGATTTGTATGTCATTCACATTCTCACACTGCTAGAGTTATATAGTTATAACTAGAACTATAAAGTTATGTCCAGAAATTGACCTGGGAATTCCTTGCAGCTTCAGAAGAACTTCTACAATAAAACATTCTCGTAGTTAAAATAAAGGGAATTATTCCCTCCTTTTAGGTCTTGTATCACACAAGGAAGAATGTTGAAGGAAACAGGTTCTGAGGCTTAAATTGTTTCACCTTTAGCCATGTTTATTAACCTCCTTTGCAAGGAATCTCCCAGAAATTACTCCAAGACAGGGGCCACCCTTTCCTCAAATGAAGACTGGCTGCAGTGTTAGGAGGGACACAGGGCATTTATTAAGAAGCAGGTGGGTCCTGAGGTTCCACCACCACTTCTCTGACCTTTCTGATGTAGGATCAGCACAATTCAGTGGATATTTCAACTCTATGACATCTCCATTCTTCTCCTTGAGCTGCCCATGGTGTTCCATGTAGTACTGGACCAGCTCAGCCAGCGTGGCAAACTTCTCTCCCCCGTACAGGTCATAGTAGTCCCCTGTGTTCTGGATCTTGATGTGGGTCACGGCTCCAGTTCGTCTGGTATTGGAAACACAGGGGAAAAAAAAAAAACACAAATCAGCTGATGGCAAATCAATCCCTTTTATATTTAGTGTTCTGCTGCCTGAGCTGGAGAAATCCATACTCACATTTGCAGCACTTTGCAACTGAACATTGCAGAGGAGCAGAGTTAGTGCCCCTCTGAAGTCGCTTCAGACACATTGCAGTGGCTTGTCTGTCCAGCAGCCAGGAAAAATAGGAAAAAACATCATACTGAAGGGATCCTTGAAGCCAGTGTAAGCTCTGCAGCCTCACAATCTCCATTAGGAACCCCTCAGAGCCCCAAAATCGCTCATACAAGCACAAGGGTGGAGGGGTCAGAATTCAGCATTCAAAGAGACCCATCAGAGCTGGTTTGCTCCTTTCCCAGAACTTCCCAGCAGCTCCTGAGGTCCCTCCTCAGTAAACAGTTTTGCTCCCACAGTCTCCAATATTAAGGAAAAACAGCTCCCTGCAGGATTCCCCTCCTATGCCTCAAGGTCTGTTATCTCAGAAGCATCCAAGCACCAGAATTCTTATCACCAATCCCACTTTTCCCTTTTCCTTTATCTACTTCCTCTTGCTGTCCTTTCCCCATCCCCACCACTGGACACACAGGGGACAACTGGCACAAAAGGCCTATTTTGGAAGCTGAAAAAGCATCACAGTTGCCCTCAAAAACTTGCTGACTTTTCCTGTATGAGGAGAGGCTGCAGAGCATTTCCTGCATGTGCTTGATCCCTAATTCCCATCATCTCTGCTGCTTCCAGATGCTTATCAAACAGATTTTTAAAGGGCTAAAAGTAATGCTGTTATCAACCTACTTCTGCTTCCCCTGAACCTTTTTGTCCCTCTAAAACCAGAATTCACTCCCCTCCAATCTATAGTTTCCCCAAGTTGGGTAAAATTTGAGAACCTCGGCAGGGAAAATGGGAGGAAAAGAAGAGGGAAAAGTCAGCATTAAAAAGTGATTTGCACATTATTTCACCTCTTACAAGTAGTTCATCCACAACTTTTTCCCTGCAGAACAGCACTAAATGAAGACCTTTATCTGGGGAGACGGAGTGAAAATATTTCAGCTCACCTGACAGAGAGGGTAAAGTCTCCTGGGTTACTTTTGCTGGGCCGTGCCAGGAAGCTGCCATCCACCCCTCTTGTTAACAGCAGGTTTTCTGCCTCCACCCCAGTAATATTTGGATGAAACCATCTAAAAGAGATTAAAAATAAAGAATCTTAATAAATAAACAGAAGATCTTCTGGTTTTCAGAGTTAACTTCCACAGGATTAAACAGAGTGATCCAATGGCTTCAAAACGAGGAAGGGCTGAATTTTGATGCTAAATTAATAAAAATCTCCATTCATTATTTGTTTCATATTGCATTGCAATTTTATGTATTGGCAAGAGAAGCTCTGAAAGGGAAAGAACTCCATTCATACATACTGGGTTAAAATGGTATCAAAGACACACAACATAAACACAGACCAGAAGTCCTATTTCCTTACTCCAGGAAGACATGACACACAAAGAAACTCAGAGACAAACAGGAAAAATACCTAAAAATAAAACAAAACATCCCCTGTGCCACTTGACAACATTTTAAAGGTTAATAATGCAACAAAACCTCATGTTTTAGGGCACAGGCTGAGAAGGGTCAGGAAGCAACTCCACTTGAGAACAACCTACTCCTCTTCCACCTTCGCCAAAGAATGCGGTGCTGGGGTCGGATAAATCCCACTTAAATACAACCCCAGAGGAATCTCAGATTGATCTTCACCACCCACAAAGGGCCCTGAATGACTAACACAGAGCCAAGGTTGGATCTGGGCTGTGGCCAAGAGGATCCATGTCCCACCTCTGGCATTAACTTCAGACAGACTCATCCGGAGCCGTTCCATAACACACCTGCCTTTGCTCTTAGCCGGAATTCCCAAGTTTTATTACACTCCTGGAGCACTAAACAACATCCCTGTGCTCTGGATGAAAGGCTTTGTCACAATTGTACTTGGCAATTACGAGACCACCTTTAATTTTCAGAATTAAAATCAGGAAAACCCTCATCCCTTTTCCTTTATCTCCTTCTACTGAGCGGGAAGAACTGAGGTTGCTGCTCTTGGTACAGAAAGTTTTGGCTTCTCCAAAGTAACCCAGAAGACTCCATAACCAGTCTCTTTACAGATATAGGAGTGTTATAGCTACAAAAATTTCCATAGCTTTCCTGAGCCTTCCTGATCCAGTCAGCATTTCATGCTAAATTGCTAAATCAGCAAAATACGAGAGTGCAAATCTAAATTTAGGACTATTAATTCAATTGCTTCAGCAATTCCTTCTCTACTGAAAAGCTGACAATATTCCCACCACGGCTTCATCCAGCCTGTTCTCTTCAGAAATGGATTCTCATGAAAACATTCTGAAGAGTTTTAGAGATTCTAGAATATTATTAATTATATTTATTAAGTAAATGATTCTTCTTGTTCACCTTGCTTTTTTTTGCCTAGTTAATAATATTCTGCTTACACCAAGAAAATCTAGTGAAAACTCCCTATTTTTCACTGAAAAACAACAGAAAAATCAAAACTATGCAGCATGGGACAGGAGAAAATATTAAAATACTTCCAAGTTATCACAGCAGGTGGGGATGAATTAATTAATAATGCTACATTTACGTAATGACTATTCAAAGGTCAAGAAAAGGTCTGGTTTGATGCAGTGTCGAAAACCAAACCACACAAGCATCAGCACCTGGGGTGAACTGAACATTAAATAATATATTTCAGCATGACAGGTAATAGCTGATGATATATTTACAACACTTCCATTCCCAAAATTTTACTTTCATTAGGAGAAAACAAAAAAAATCTACACAAAAAAAGTGCAGCAACATTTTGAACAGTTCACAAGGTTTCTAATTATGCACAGGATTCAAGGGAAAACTTTGCAAATTTTTGAGTTCACATAAAAAAATATATAAACGTACAAAGGAGGAATTACTGGAATTAGTTTTCCAGGTTTATTATATGGTGACATTCCATAAACTTTAATTAATAGAGTATCTTCTGTATCTTAGAAATTCTAATGTATCTGGAAGTAAGTGTACACGAGCTGTTAAAAAGATGTGAACAAACAGAAAAATAATACTTTAATGCACAGAGGGGACCACAAATAACTTGTTATTTAACAAGTATTTAAAGGAGAGGTTAAAAAGATGATACACTGTGTAAAACCCCAAATCTCACCCCCAAACACAAAGCAATTCCTACTGAAGATGCCAAAGCCAAGTAGCAAAGCCAAGCTCCACCTGGGAGGGTGATAGGTTTTATTGCACTTTATATAACTTTGGTTCTGATGGCAACTTGTCCTCCTGCTCCCTCATCTCTGTATTTTTGGCTTTGAGTAGGAAGGTGCATTTGTCAGGCACCCCAAATAGAAAAATGGGGGTGTCAGTGATCCCTGCTCGGCGGTTCCGGCCCCGGGACCAGGATCTGCATTTGAAGTGCTGCCACCACATGTGTCCTTTGAACCTTGGGCTGCATCCCTTCCAAAAAAAAAAAAAACTGGAGGAGAGAGCACACACCCCCCAGTAACACAACCCCCAGCCAGGACCTTCTCCTGCACTTCCTTTTATAGGGATGGAATGTATTTTGGGCTTTTTATCCTGCTTTCCCTCTCCAGTCTCTCCCAGCAGCAGGTGCAGAGCTCTCCCAGCCAAGGGCAGTAAATACAATCACAGGAGTAACACAACACACACAAACCCACACTCTCATTAAACTGGCTCCTCACCATCATTCCCAGTAGCAATTCCAAGTCAGGGGTCAGAACACACCATTCCCAGTCCCTTATTAATTTACAAAGTTGGTAAAAGAGCAGGGTCTCATTTACAAAACTCAGGGGCATCAGCTAAGCAAGGAACCTTTTGATGAAAAATAATTCACGGTAGGAAATCCAGCCTTCCCACAATTATCCCTTTTTTTGTAATCGTGGTCCAGAGAAGACCAGCAGGATCTGTGCTCCCCAAGTCCCACACTGCCAGCACATTCCCTCTCACCAAATGAAGACAGAAAAAGAGAGAAATCAATACAATTTTCCATGCTGGCACTGGGTTTTTCTAATCACCTTTCCAAGAGCAGGAGAGATGAAGTCAGTCCTGTCTCAGCTGTCACAGCCCCAGCACTCGGGAGGCACTGATGGGTGGGTTAATTACTCCTATTTTTAGGCTCATCAGTTGATATTTCTCAGCTTTTTTTTCAGTCTCCCTCACAAGTTACAATTTCAAGCTCTGAGCAGAAGCAGTGTTTCCAAAAGTGTTTCCAAAAGGTAACTTGTATCCTTGTTCTGCCAGGAAGGATACAAGTTGTCAGCAGGGCCATCCAGAACACCCAACATGCACTGGAGATCCTACATACGCCCAAAAAAACCCCAAATCCAACTATAAAAGGCCATGCATTGAACCCAACCCATACAGATCCACCTTCTTAAGCAGGACAAGAAAGAGGACAAGTCACCATGAAGAAATTAGAGTTTAACAGGTATTACTTATTAAAAGAGGTGAATTCAAGAGGTGAATCAATCAAAGCTGTGGCTGCCCCATCCCTGGAAGTGTTCAAGGGGGTTTGGAACAACCTGGTGTAGTGGAAACCCTCATGGCAAGGGGTGGAATGGGATGAGCTTTAAGTTCCCTTCCAACCCAAACCATTCAGTGGTTCTGTGAATCTCAGAATGGGTATTAAAAAGGACAAAGATGATTATATTCTTTTCCATGACAGTAATTCCTCTCAAGTCTAACGTTCACCTAAACCTCTCAGCCCCAAAGGACACTTACTGCCAGACAAACACCAAATTACCTTATGGACACTGAGAAACTACAACAAAAAAAAGCTGGTTATCATCGTGGTTTTCAACTCCACAGGGTTTTGAAATTAACGTGAGTGCTGATGATAAACGAGGAGCCCAGGGAGGAGGCTCAGGAACACTCATTGTACAGCTGGGTCACCTCTGAGGGTCTGGAAGTCCCCAGTGCCTGTCCCGTGATGGCAACACGAGTCCCCCCGGCCCCGGCACTGGGTGGGGGCCACACACAATGAATTTATCTCTCAACTCCCGGGAACGTGGGGAGACCTCCCTGAACCCCCGAAATCGGTGGGACCGGGGCAGCTCCGGCTACCGAAGCCACATGGACGCCTCGCCTTCCCCCGGACATCCCCCCGTCAATCGGCGGGGGTGAGGGTGCAGGAGCGGGGGAAGCCCCTGGGAATGGGAGAAGTGCAGGAGAAGGGGGATCTCCCCGCGAACGGGCCGGGAGCGCGGACATTCCCACGGGAAAGGGAGGGGCGGGAGTTGGGGGGTGCGGGAGCAGGGTGATTCCCTCGGGAACGGGCGGGGTGGGGAGTGCAGGAGCGGGGGGATCCCTCCGAGAACGTGCAGGGTGGGAGGTGGGGGGTGCGGGAGCAGGGACATCCCCCCGGGAGCGAGCGGGATGGGCGCCGCCGGAGCGTGTCCCGGGAGTCCCGCCCGTTCGTGGGGAGCCCCCCCGTGCCCGCAGCCCCCCGGGTGCGGTGGCGGAGGCTCCCCGAGGCTCAGCGGCCCCTGCGCTCCCCCTGACCGCCTCACCTCCGCGATGTCATCTTCCCGCGGAGCCCCGGCGGGTGGCGGTGCCCGGGCCGCCCGTGCCCGCCCGCCGCTCACATCGGGGTCCCGGCGGGGCCTGCGGGGAGCGCGAACAGCGGCGGCCTCGGGACCCGGAGCGCGGCGAGCGCGGCGCGGCCCGCCCCGCGTCACCGCCCGTGCCGTCATCGCCCCGCGCCGCGCCCGCCCCGCCCCGCGGGGCCGCCCCGCACGGGGGGCTGCGGGACCCCCGGCACCTCCGCACGGAGCCACCGCAGCATCGCCCGCGCGCGGGGCAGGGCGCGGAGGGGGCCGCGCCCCGAACTGAGCGGGTTAAGCGGCGGAGGCGCGGCGAGGCCCCCGCCCGTGCCGGCGGTCCCGCAGCGCTCGGGGGGGGCGCGGGCGCGGTGCCCCCTCCCCGCTGCCGCGGGGCCGCCCCGGGCGGCGCGGGCGCTCCAGGACTACAAGTCCCGTGGTGCCACGCGCGGCGTGGTGACGTCACGCGCGGCGCTGGGGTTACTTCGCGCGGCCCCGGATGTAGGTCCCTTTCCCCCCCGGAAGGTGAGGATGGCGGAGCTCCGAGGGCTCGGCAGGGGCCCCGCGTTCCATCCGCTGCCATCCGCGCACCCCGCGGGCACCGGCGTGGCTCGCAGCCCTCGGGGGATGGCGGGGGGCCGGGACGGGCGCAGCGGGGGAAGAGGAGCGGGCGTGTCGCGGCTCTGGGCGGGCCGGGCCGCGGCGGGATGTGGAGGCCGCGCCGGAGAAGCGGGAACGGGTTGGGCTGGGCCGGGAATGGGGCTGAGCGGGGCTGGCCCGTGACTGTCTTGCCTGTGACCACCCGGGACAGAGGCGGGTGTTTGTCCACGGGCTCCCCACCGAGCAGCGCTGGGTGCGATCGGTGAACTCGTCGCTGTTGTAACTAGCGCGGAGCAGCATTTTGCAGGGAGCAGTGGTTGCTCAGCCGCGGCTGTAAAGGCGGCTGACAACTGTCAGAAAGGTGTAAGGGATCGCTTCGATTCTTTTATTTTGTTTCTGTCATTCGAAGTGTGCGCACCTTGTACTGAGCCCTAGTTTGTGTGATCCTCAGATGGCGGGTGAGAAGGCGCCCGCGGAGAAGAAGCCGGCCAAGAAGAAGGCAGGAGAGAAGAAGCCGGAGCAGAAGCCGAGCCAAAAGGCAGCCGGGGACAAGAAGAAGAGGGTGAAGAAGCACCATGCCAGCAGGAACCCCGTCCTGGCCCGCGGCATCGGGCGGTATTCCCGCTCCGCCATGTACGCCAGGAAAGCCCTGTACAAGCGCAAGTACACGGCTCCAGAGACAAAGGTGGGATGGGAAACACTGTGTTTGAGCCACCGGGGTGCCTTTGGTTTGAAATGTCAGGAGCTCTCCCTGTTCTTTGCCTACAGATAGAAAAGAAGAAGAAGCAGAGGCCCCGTGCCACCATCACCAAGCCAGTGGGTGGAGACAAGAACGGAGGCAGCCGGGTGGTTAAAATCCGGAAAATGGTATGGAAAAGCAGTGGGATGTTCATGTTTTGGGGCTGTTCTGGGTAACCTTGGGCTGCGTGATGAGCCTCTTGCCTGAGGCAGCTTAGGGACCTCAGGCTCAGCTGTGCTTCAGTGAACTGTTGGCAATGCTCACCTTGAGATACAGATCCAGGGTTCTTGGGACATGGTGGAATTTAGGGTGGGAATTTAGGGAATGGTTGTAGGCACGAGCAGCTTCTGTGCTGTTTCTGTTGCTGTGCTGAGGTGGAAGCACACACAGAAGTACAGAGCTGGCTGCAGCTTTCACTGTGCACCGTTGCCCAGGAAACACTCCGTGTGTTCCCATCACCGGCTGCAGCAGAAACAAATCCTTCAGAAAGCTGAACTTTGGGAAATAGGGAGAATCTTGGTGAGGGGTTTCTGCCGTGTGGAATGCAGGTGTTAAACCACGTTGCTGCTCTCCCCTCAGCCCAGGTACTACCCCACGGAGGACGTGCCCCGCAAGCTGCTGAGCCACGGCAAGAAGCCGTTCTGTGAGCACAAGCGTCGGCTCCGCGCCTCCATCACCCCGGGCACGGTGCTCATCCTGCTCACCGGGCGGCACCGCGGCAAGGTGAGCCCCCCTGGTGCCCCCCCAGCCCCACGGGGACCTGAGATACCCCAGATCTACCAGCTGATGTCACTGGTCAGCCACTGGGTGCAAATCCATGGCTTGTGTCTGGATGCTTCCCTTGCCCGGCCGTTAAGGGATGCAGACTTTAAATGTTTTTTAAATTAGTGTTTTTCTGCACAGAGCTGGGAGTAGGACAGGCTAATCCAGTTGCTTAGACAAAATTAAAGGAGTCTTGCAGTGCAGAGCAGCAGACCCAGGTCATATTTCTGTTGCTGCTGCAGCAAAGGCAAAACTTAGTCTTTTAGTAGCTATTGCAAAGAAAGAATAACATTTTCATTCTTAATCTAATTATTAAGGTAACAGTGTACTGTTATGTTCTATGTTTCATCTTAATGATGGTTAACTAACATCCTTTACATCCTTTATTTTCTTGAACATTCTTGCTTTATGTCACATTACATAAAGGTTGTTGTTCAGAGAAGGCAAACTTGACCAGAAACAGTGAGACATAGCTGGGGGATGGCTCTGACCGTGTGATGTTGTGATGCCTTTCTGGGTTTTATCCAGTTCCTGCCTTTAATTCATATAAAGAATTTTGGGGATGGGATGGCTGTTGCCATCCTGTAGGATGGGCAAAGAGTAAAACTGTAGTAATTGGGTTTGCTCTGCCTTGAGCGATGAGGCACATGGAGAGTCCCAGAGGAGGTCCCTGGCAGAGCTGTGCTCATGGAAGTGCTGTAGTTTCGATCCCAGGGTGGCAATTCCTCAGGTTGCACAGCTGCACCCACACCTGGAGCACTGTCAGCGCCTGTACCAGTACCAGGCCTAGTTGGGCACAGTCCCAGTTTGGCTGTGGTACTGGAGTGCTGGCACCTGAGAGCTGATGACACATCTTGTTCCTTTACAGCGTGTTGTCTTCTTGAAGCAGCTGGACACTGGCCTTCTGCTGGTTACAGGTAAAAACATTTACATACTCGTGATATTTTTGTTTGGTTTGGGGGTTCAGTGGGTTTGGGGTGGGTTTACCAAGTTCAGGTTTGTCTCTGGGGTCAGTAGCACAACCAGTCTGCATGTGGGTGCTTTGGCACGTCATGTGTTCATGGGACAACATGGAATCACGTTTTGTGGTGGAGTCCCCATCCCTGGAGGTGTTCAAGGAATGACTGGACGTGGCACTCAGGGCTCTGGACTGAGTGATGAGGTGGGGATGAGTCACAGATTGGACTCCATGGTCTGGGAGGTCTTTTCCAGCCTGAATGATTCTGAGATTTGTGACTTTGCAGGAAGGTGGAGGGGAGATAATTAAGCTTCAGCATCTGACTATGTAGAAGAGACCGGGAAGCATTTTTTGGTATTTCTAGAGGGGAAGGGCTTTAAATGTTCAGATTTTAGCTGTAGGCATCTCTGAAGGAACTAGTCATCACATACACTACAAAAGTTCAACTTCAACCGTTTTCACCAAAAAAGCTGATTTTGTTCTCTTCCCTCTGCCTTCAGGCCCCCTGGTTGTCAACCGTGTCCCCCTGCGTAGGGCCCACCAGAAGTTTGTTATTGCCACATCTACAAAGGTTGATCTCACTGGAGTGAAAATTCCCAAACATCTCACTGATTCCTACTTCAAGAAGAAGAGGCTGCGGAAGCCCAAGCACCAGGAAGGGGAGATCTTTGACACTGAAAAAGAAGTAAGAGATGTGGTGATTCATTGATCCTGAATTCCCATGTGACCCCAGGCCAGGCTCCAAGGGGGGAATAGCAGGGAACAAACAGCTGGATTTTAAGTGGCCCTTAATCAAATGAGGTGATGCCATTAAAATAGATTAATACAGCACTGAGATAAAACCTTGCTAAATTTGGGGATTCTTCTCTGCTTATACCTCAGCAGACCAGCAGCAGGGATTATTCCAGTTAAATAAATAAATATAAATCTCTTTTTTGAGTGAGAAACACTTTTCCTGGTTGGATCCTGCCAGCAGCATAAGCCAAACAGTGGCTTCAGTGCTGAGCTACCTCAGGTCTCCCACCCTTATTTAGAACAAATGAAGATTTCATGAGAATGTCAAAACTTAGGGGTTTCCCTGAATTTTCTCCTCTCTGCAGAAGATTCTGAGGTCATTGTGCAGGATTTTCATGTTCTTCTCTGCTTTGTAGAAATACGAGCTGACGGAGCAGCGCAAGGCAGACCAGAAGGCCGTGGATTCCCAGATCCTGGCCCGGATCAAGAAGGTGCCTCAGCTCCGTGGGTACCTGCGCTCCACCTTCTGCCTCTCAAATGGAGTCTATCCTCACAAATTGGTGTTCTAGGCCTTCTGAAAGCACCACATTAAATTCCAAGGGAAAAAAAAGCAAGGATTTCTGGTGTGTTCTTTGCAATCTATGATGGCACATGTTGCACAAGGCTTGCCATGCATGATTTAACAGGTAGAAAAGCGCCTGTGGCATGGAATCCTGAGGGACTACGTGTAATGACCAGAACTTTGAGTGCAAGATTTGGGGTGTAGTAGTTTTGGTTGGTTGGGTTGGGTTTGTTAAATTTTTTTTAACTATTTAATATAAACAGAAATTCAGCTTTCTTAACTTTAAATGAGCTGGGGAGGGATCCTGAAGAGATTTTCTTTTGGGCATAGCAGATAGTGCTGGGTTGCCACAGTGCACAATAAAACCCAGCCTCATTCCTGCTGACATACTTCTCTCCACGCTTGCTGTGCTGAAACCAGGGCTTTGGGGTTTTTTTTTTTGTGGAGAACCAGCTCTGTCAATAAAACTTTGCAGGTAATTCAGCATTTTAAACCTTGTGTGCAGCTCTTGAGACGGTGTTTGACAAACAGCTTTGATTCCTCACTCACCGCATGAACCTCAGCAAATATAGAACTTTTTAGAGGCATTTCAGGAGCTATGCCTTGGATTTTAAAGTGGAAGCACTGGGAATACTTGAGTTTTGCACAGTAACTTATCCCTGGAACCATAACAAAATTTGGAGAGTGTGTCCCTTTCCTGTTCTTTGTTTATCCTTGTGGGATGGAATGCTGTTAGTTGGGAGGAATACCAC